GGGGGTGGAGGGGGCGGCCGGGGGGGGGGGGGGGGGGGGGGGGGTCTAGAGAGACATCTGGCCGGAGGCCTGCTTCTGACTGTGCCGCCCTGCCCGACCAGCGCCCCCCCTACACCCCGCTCCCAACTCATTCTGCCCCGACGGTCCCTGTTCCGCCCCCACGGTCCGCTCCTCTCCCACAGCCCAGCAAGCAGAAGCGGAAGTTTTCTTCCTTCTTCAAGAGTTTGGTCATTGAGCTGGACAAAGACCTTTACGGCCCTGACAACCACCTAGTGGAGGTAAGACCCAGACCCCCTCTGCCCTTGAACCTGCCCCCCTTCCACACACCGCAGTCCCGTCAGCTGCACAGGTTTGGATGAGGGAGCCCCCGCCACCAGGGCTCTAGCCCCACCAGCTCGGTTGGGCCTGTGAGGTGAGCCGGCTTTTATCCCCTGGACAGTGGCACCGGACGCCCACCACGCAGGAGACGGACGGGTTCCAGGTGAAGAGGCCGGGGGACCTGAGTGTGCGCTGCACGCTGCTCCTCATGCTGGACTACCAGGTGTGTGCCCCACCCCCCAGACACCACATGAGGCCCTCAGCCCCCCATGCCCTTTCTCCTAGATGGGGCGGGCCTCGGCCTCAAAGGTGCACATCCTGAGAGATCCTGTTCTCTCCTCCCTACCCCGCCCTCTCCAGAGCACGTTTCTGAGAAGCCCAGGCACCGCATCCCCGCCGAGTCCCAAGACGCCTGGCCCTGAGCTCTTTCCGCTCTCTCTCTTTTACCTAATTTTCATGGTCACCTTTTCCCAGCCTCCCCAGTTCAAACTGGATCCCCGCCTGGCCCGCCTGCTGGGGTTGCACACACAGAGCCGCTCAGCCATCGTCCAGGCCCTGTGGCAGTATGTGAAGACCAACAGGCTGCAGGACTCACACGACAAGGAATACATCAACGGGGACAAGTATTTCCAGCAGGTACCCTCTCCCCTGAGCCCAGGGCCCCTGGGAGCAGGCAGAGTTACCGGTAGGGGAAGTGCCCCTACTAAGGTGACACCCCCCACTCCCTTCTCGACTCCGTCAGAAACGGTCTCGGAGCCAGAGACCAGGGTTCTAGTCCAGGCTCTGCCATGGCACAGCTCTGTGCAGTGGCCCACCCATCGTAGCCACCCCAGGTGAGGAAGACCTGGAACCCCAGGAGGCCAACAGCTTTGGGGAACACATTCTTGTCACTTGGAATTAGGAGTTCTAGTTCCTAATTCTAGTCCTGGGTCTAGACTCTGGGTAGATTACTTAGCTATTTTGAGCCTCGTTCCTTATCTTTACAACAGGGTGATAACAATACCTGAACCATCTAGCCCACCGGGCAGTTAGGAGAATCAAATTGCTGTGGAAGTGATTTGACAAGAGTTCTACCAAACTAGAGATTATTAATAATATTTTTTAATAATAATTTTTAAATAAATACAACAGATAAACCTGAGTAGTAAAAATAACAGTTGATATTTATTGAGTACTTAACCACGTGCCGAGCACTGTTCCAAGCACTTTATGTGTAACGGACTCATTTAATTCTAACAACCCCTTGAGATAGATACCATTACCATCCCCTTTCCAGAGATGAAGAAACTGAGGATGAGATGTTAAGTAAGTTGCTCAGGGTTGCACAGTGAGCGGTGGAAGCAGGACTTACACCCGGGCCGGCCGACCCGGGTCCAGGGCCTGTGCTCTCACCCACGCGCTGCACACCCCTTCCCGTCAGTCAGTGCTCCTCTGGTCGCAGCCCACCTGGCCCCAGCCCCGTGAGCACTGGCTTCCCGTGGCCTTTTCAGAATGGAAACTATGCTCTTTCAAGCACAGAAGAGCGATCTCTCTCTCCCACTTCAGATCTTTGATTGTCCCCGGCTGAAGTTTTCTGAGATTCCCCAGCGCCTCACAGCTCTGCTATTGCCCCCTGACCCAATTGTCATCAACCATGTCATCAGGTGAGGCCCCCGGCTGCTCCTCAGAACAGGGAATCTCTGTGGTGGTCCTGCCCTCCCTGCCCCTCCTTCTGCCTCCCCCCCCCACACCGCCCCTCCCCTCTGCTTCGGGCCCCAGCGCCCTTGGCCTCTGTGGGGGCAGCATGGACGCCAAGGGTTGGACTCCCCTGGCAGCGTGGACCCATCGGACCAGAAGAAGACGGCGTGCTATGACATTGACGTGGAGGTAGAGGAGCCCCTGAAGGGACAGATGAGCAGCTTCCTCCTGTCCACGGCCAACCAGCAGGAGATCAGCGCCCTGGACAGTAAGGTGGGGCCAGAGCCCAGAGCTGGAGCGGGACGTTAACCCCAAAGTGACAGAAGTACAGACAAAACAGACAAGAATGTGGGCCTATGGAGAGAGGAAGGGGAGGTGGCCCTTCCCTCGCTACTTGGAGCTCCGCCCATCCCCCTTTCCCTGGGACTGCCTGGGCATCAGGGACCTGATGAGAGATTGCCCTTCAAAGGCACAACAGCGAACCCCTTCCCCACCCCCGTACCACCCCCCCCCCCCCCGCCCCCCCCCGTTTCCCTTCCTCTCACACATCAGCACGGCCAGGTGAAAGCCTCTGTCTTTCTACCTGTAGATCCATGAGACGATTGAGTCCATAAACCAGCTCAAGATCCAGAGGGACTTCATGCTAAGCTTCTCCAGAGACCCCAAAGGCTACATCCAAGACCTCCTCCGCTCCCAGAGCCGGGACCTCAAGGTGAAGGGGACTCAGGGAGCACTGGATGGAAGACAAGCACATCGGGAAGGCAGTGACGTTGTTCACAGGGGCTGGCGGGGGCCCGGGCTCGGGGCTGACCCCACCGCTCCCCCCAGGTGATGACAGATGTGGCAGGCAGCCCCGAGGAGGAGCGCCGGGCTGAGTTCTACCACCAGCCCTGGTCCCAGGAGGCCGTCAGCCGTTACTTCTACTGCAAGGTGGGAAGGGCCCCGCCCGCCGCTGCCGCTCCGGATGCCCCTCCAGGGCAGGGGGGTCCTGTCACTCACCAGCAGCAGGTAACCTGCTCCTGCTCTCACTCTGCTGCAGATCCAGCAGCGCAGGCAGGAGCTGGAGCAGTCCCTGGTTGTGCGCAACACCTAGGAGCCCTGTGCGAGCACCAAACGCCGCTGGGGGCCTCAGGCCCTGCCCTGTGCCCTAGGGCTCTGCCATCACTCAGACGCCTCGCCTCGCCTCGCCTCACCTCGCCTCCCCTCTCGGGTGAGGCAGGGACTGGATTAAAGGTGTTCACTTGATAACAGCCGTGTGGTCATTGGTAACTGGGGAGGGAGGAGGCAGGGGAGGGCAGTGGGTCCCTCTGGGGAACTCCCCACCCCCTCCCTCCGAGTGTTCTTACTCCATTTTCCCTAGACCTAAAAACAGTTCGGCAGAAGACACTTTTAATGACATTTTCTTATTCAGAAATACAGCAACAAGCCCTCCATCAGTCCATCCGTGTTGCCCCGCCTTGCCAGGGCCAAGGCCGAAGGGCCCTAAGTGGGGGCGCGGGGCCCCGGGCCGCGCTACGTGCTATTGGCCTGCTCCTGCTCGAACAGAGCCACGGCGAGCTGCGCGCGGCCCCCCAGCCCCTCCAGGGTGCTCAGGCGGCAGCGGTGGTAGAGCTCCTCGCTGAGCCGAGGGCTGCAGTCGCGCACGGAGAACTTCTGCACCAGCCCTGGCTCCACGGCCCGGAAAAGGTGGAGCCCTGAGAACCGGAGGAAAACGTCCATCACCTCCAGCCCCTCCAGGGCTTCCTCCTCTTCCTGGCCTGCCAGCTCACCGGCCAGCCGGGCTCGGGCCGCCAGGTAGTCAGCGTTATAGAAGCAGCCCTCTGCGGAGGCCCGTCGGTCAAACCTGCCCCCAGCGGGAGCCCCCCGGGCGGGCTCAGCGCCGGGAGGGGCCGGGGCGTCGGGGCCGGCCCCCGGGGGCCCTTGGGGGGGTCTCTGTGGGGCCAGGGCGGGGCTGAACTCCTGGAAGTGGACCGGAAAGAAGGCCTGCCAGCCGGAGATGGCGTTCATGCGGCAGCGGTTGAGGACGTCGGGCCCGGGCCTGGTCCACACAGTGGCGAGGAAGAAGAGCGTGTCCACGGGGTGCTTCTTAGAGACCACGTCCAGGAGCCGCACCTGGGAAGGGGCCTCCGCGCGCACAGCGAGCCAGGCCAGCCTCGTCCCAGGGTGCCGGCGTTCCAACTCAGCCGCTGCAGCCTTCACCCCAAGAAACGGGTCCGGGGCCCCTCGGCCCCCTTCCCGCGGCCCGTAGACCAGCAACAGGGTGAGCAAGGCATGCTCTCGCGGCTCCAGGACGCCGGCCGCAAAGGCCTCCAGGAACGCAGGGGCCGCAGCGGCTTCGGCCACCAGCAGCGGCAGCACCAGCTGCACGCGGGTGGCCTCGGTGACGTAGGGCATGGGGAGGATCTCCACCCGGCTCAGGGGCCGCAGCAGGCTGACCCTGCGGGCCAGGGCCCGCCGGTGCCCGCGCTGCGTCACGGCTTCCAGCAGCAGGTCCAGGGTGTACTCCATGCCGCGCGCTGGATCAAAGCGCCGGTAGCCGTTGAGCAGCCGCTGCTTCTGGAAGCGCAGGCGGGGCTGATAGCGCCGATTCAGCTGCTCCACAGCAGTGTCCACGGCGTCGCCCACATCTGCCCTGCTAGCCCCTTGCAGTGGGCACTTGGGGGCCCCGTCTGCACAGGAGAAGGTGTGCCGCTCTGTGAAATAGTCCCAGCCCAGCACCTCAAAACGAGAGCGGGGTGTAAAAGGGGCCGGGAGCCCAGTGGGCCAGCTCAGGCCTGCCTCCCCCTCAGGGGTCAGCGCGGTCAGGTTCCGGATCTGAGCCTGGGTGGGAGAGACGCCCAGTTAGTGCCCCGCTAGGCATTCAGGACCCTACCCCACTCCGGTGTCCCGGTGCCTGACCCCAGTAGCACTCAGTGAGGCTCACGGCTTAATTCCCTGTACGCTACGTTCTTTAATCGGGAAGGTGCACAAGGCATTCGAGTCACAGCCGCCTTTCACAACTGCTGTGAGGAGGCGGCGGTGGGAAATGTGCTTTCCTGGAGGTTAAAGCACGCTGAAATCTAACGCTGGGCAGTCTTTCTCTCCCATGCTCAAAGCACTCGCGCTCTCTTCACAAAGAGCCCTCTGTTTTTCACCTGTACCCCACCTCAGACAACCCCCACGGTCAAGCAGAGAGTTCCTCTACCTTCTGCCCTTGGACTGTCTAAGGGCGGTGCTGGAGGTTCAGGGACTTCTAAGTTTTTGCATCCTTGCTGGAGAAGAATTAAAACTATTCTGTCAGGACTTCCCTGGTGGTTAAGACTCCGAGCTTCCACTGCAGGGGGCACGGGTTTGGTCCCTGCTCGGGGAACTAGGATCCTGCAAGCTGCGCAGGGGGGCCAAAAAATTCAAAAATTAAAAAAACACTATTCTTAGACTCCAATAAAGATGTTAAAAACAAACATTAATTCACTTAACTTATATAAAACTCAAAAAACAAAAACCCCAAACCCCCGCCCCACGCCAAAAAAACCCCACAAACCACTCTTCTATCTAAGCACTCTGCCAAGCCCGATCCTCAGAGCTCACCCGCAAACCCTTTTAAGTGCATCCAAGTCATGCCAGGAGCTTTGATTATCTTATGACTGACCTGGACCCCCCAGGGCCCCTTCTCCCTGGAGTCGTTTTAAATCGGGGTATGGTCAGCCTCCTTCTACCTCGCCCAGCCTCCCCTCCCACGCATCACGAGCCTGGACGCCTGAAGCTCCCTGTGACCTCCAACCCCGGTCCCATGCTCACCTGCAGCTGTTCTATTTCACTGTACGCTCGTTCCAGCTCCAGAGCACTGAAGCGCTTGTGGAGCCGGTACATGAGGGTTCCCTCGGAGACAGGGTGCACCGCAAAAGCACTCAGGAAAGCCGAGCTCCCCTCCTTCTCGGGGTCCCTATTTTTGGCCAGTTCAAACGAGCGATACTGCTGCCCCTAGAGGACCAATGAGACCAATCAATGCCACACAGGGAGGGCTGCCCCGCCTGACCACCCTCAACCACGCTCAGCATTCACACCTACTACTGCCACTGCCAGAAGCGGGGAAGGCACAGGAGCTCATTCTGGTGTCCCCTCAACCTCAGCCTTACTCTCACCAACGGATTTTGGAAAAGAGAGTGCTAGCTAGGCAACTAAGGATGCCCTAGCCCCCGCCCCCACCCCCAGCAAAGAACCCCAGTGTTCCTCAGAAGAATGAAAGCCGAAAGCCAGCAAATACTCCCAATACTCTGGTCTGGGAGGAGGGGCCCCTCTGGCATCGTCCCCTCTTCACCAACCAGAAGGGAGGTTCCTGGGCTACCTTACCCCTCCAGGAGAGTGGCCATCTCTAGGACACTCCCAGATCATTGGTGACTGTTCAAGTGTCGGGGAAGGGGCGGAAGGCAAGGGGCCAGGTGGGAGGACTGGTAAGGGGCAGCTTTCTGGCTTGCTCGGAGGGTCCCTGACAAGATGCCACTTTTGAAGGCCCTAGGGATCTAAGACTGTCAGAGGTGAGCAAGGGAGAGCTAGAGGGGTGATCGGGGCTGGAAAAGGCACGACGACAGCCCCAAGGTGCCACTGGGAAAGCGCCAGCAGCACCCAGCCTCGAGGCCAATCACTTGGTCACTACTAACTTGTCGGGGACTGGGATTAACTTGAAAGGGCTGTCACCTGGTGCTGTGAGACACAGCCGATGCCCAGAGAGTCAATGAGGCAGCGGCCAAGCCACTCATCAGGACGAGCACTGAGGATGTCTCCTCGGCAGCCATCCAGATGTGGCCACAATCGAAGCAGGAGGCTCCGTGACAACAGGTAGCCAAAGCCCCCGTGGCAGTATCGGGCCTGCTCGCCTGCACCGATGAACTCCTCCGTCCGGCCCAGGTACAGGTCTTGGTTGATACTGAGGTGGCCAGCCAGGGCTGCCAGGCGGGGGGCCTGCACATACGTGTCATCCTGCATGACGAAGAACCAGTCATAGTCGGCCCCGAAGTGTGTGTGAAGATGGCGCAGGGTCTCGGACATGAGCCAGGCTGGCCGTTCGTCCCCGTGGGATACCACCTGCATCCCTGCCGGAGGCCGGGCCGCTCGCTGCCCAGTGAAGTAGAGGAGCCGAGGGAAGTGATGAGCCACCGTGCGGTTCACGGCCACAGCCAGCGTGGGCAGCGTGGCCCGGGACGTCAGGACAGCCACCAGCAACCGCTCGCGAGAGCCCAGCTCTGTCTGGATGTACCGAGTCCTGCAGGGAGACCAGCGTGCCAAGGGTCAGCTCCCTAGTCGTTAGGAACTCAGTGTGTCCAGCATATACATCCCCCTAGGGATTAGTGCGTTGGAGTTGAGAAAAGAGAAGGGAGACCTCCTCGTCCATATTAATGAGCTACTGGAGTGAGCATCCACTGAGTAGCCGACACTGGGACTGATTTGGGGAGAGGTCAACCAAGGCTGGATGAGATGGGTTAGATGCAATTCCTGCCCTGCTGAAGAACATCCAACCACTAATTTAACACCAATGGGTGAGGCTTTCTCAGACCTGAGGAGGAGGAAGAAACTGGACCAAACCCTGATGGATAACAAGGAAAGAATTGCTTCAAGGAGCCTCTACAATGATCACCAGTGAAGGCGGAGGCAAGGACTCGGAGCAGCCCTAAACCGGGGCCTGGGGACTATGCACACACATAACTCTCACCTGAGCACCTTCTTGTAGGGCTTGTTGGGATCCCTGTAGTAGGGGACAATCCGGGGTTTGAAGTCTTCATCACTTTGGTCAAGCTGAGTTCCTGAGTCTAGATTCTGTGGCCCTCCTGGTTCCCCCACAGCCACTACACAGGGATCTTCTCCCTCACCCTGGATCCAGGAAACCCGCAAGAGGCTCAGGCTGCACCCCAGAGACAGCCCTAGGATGAGGGGCAGTGCTGGTTGCAGCAGAGCCAACACTGAGCTCAGTCGCATGGCGGTGGGCCCTGCCATGTGCGTGCCCCAGAGGGCACAGCCTCAAGGATCGATCAGTGCGTAAATGGGAGTAGGTCTGCAGTTTTAACAAGGGAACCTGGGGTCAATGAGGTCAACAAGAGAACAAGGCGTGTTTGCTTCCAGGCCCAGTATCCCCGGGAAATGTCTGCCTAGCCTTCTGTTGTCAAGGTGCTGGATCTAACCCTCAATCCAAATAGTAAATATTCGAATCAGTTTCACCCACTAATGGTGAGGCTTCCAGTAAAAACGAGAGGAAATAAAACTCAATCCTGTCAAACCTAACCCCAGAAGGACTATATACATCTGAAGACTGGATCTAAGCCAAGAGATGGCAGCAACCGATAAAGATGGGCTTGGGGAAAAGCACATGCTCCATCAACACAACAGCCCCCGGCTAGAGGAACTTAACTCCAAAGGCCTTTCCCAAGAAGCGCCTTGGGGGGCGGGCATGTCTCACTCAGTTTACTGCAGGGCTGCTGACTGGCTGCTGAAGGCCAGCGCCGGGATGGGGTCAGGGCCTTTCCACTCTATTCCCGAGTGTTAAGGAAACAGGGTACCCACCCCTCCCGGTAGTCAGGAGTGGTCAGGAGCCACTGGCACCGCGCACAGAAGTTCTGCCCACCTAATGAGGTGGACGGAGGATATGGTGCCTCAGCACGAAGAGCCTCTCAGAGGAGCACAATGGCTGATGGAGCCACTCTGCTGGGCGTTCTTCTCTGAATCCCCGCTGCTGAGAGGCTGGTGCTGCCTGACAGTAACCCCGGCCGCGTAAGAGCGATTCGGTGTTTGGTTTTACCAGAGCCCCGGGTACCCAAACCAAACCAAACCAAACCGAGAAGAGAAGCAGCTAGCGACAACGCAGGGATCCTGAGAAGGCACACGGATGCTCGGCTGGCTTCCGGTGCGCCCGCTGTCAGGCCCGGCGCCCCTGTCTACCTCTCAGCAATCAAAAGCAACTCTAGTCCTAGAAAGAAGGCCCAAAGCGAGTGTCAGCCGTTAGTCTCACACAGAAATAAAACTGGCTGCGTCACGGGGCTGGAGAGGAGGGGCAGGGAGACTCCGTTCGTTCTGGCGACGGGAATGGAGGTCGCGGCGGGGAGAGGGGGGCAAAGACTCCGTTCTCAGGCCCGTCAGCAGGGGCAAAAGCCCTGCCTGCGCCAGTGGGCGAAGGACAACGAGGGACACCCCGAGGCCCACAGGGGGAGTCCCCTGCAGCCGGGCCAGGGGCGGCGGCGTGCGGATAACGGGTGGCCGGGGTATGGCGGCCGCGGCCAGCCCGGTCCCGCGGAGTGGGGGTGAGGGCGTGGAGCTGGGACGTGCTCCTGTCCTCCGGAGCGGCGCCCCCGACGCCCCTTGCAGGGGTGGGGCGGGGAAGAGGGAACAGACCCCAGAGCCCGAGGCGCCAGCTCCGCCGCTGCAGCCGCTGCCACCTCACAGGCAGGCCTGTTCCTTCCTCTTCCGCTCGCTGTCAGTCCCCGTCTCTATGGTGACCGCATCCGGCCGCTCGCTCCGCCGCCGCCCTCTCTGTGGTCGTCCCGCCCCCTCCTTTCGCCGCGTACCCGCTGTGGGGTGACGTGGTTGTCCCGCCTGCCCCCCGCCCCCCGCCCCCCAACAACAGGCGTGCGTTCCGCAGACGCTAATCCGAGTGAACCCAGCATGGACCCAAAGGTGACGCAAGCTTCAACCTCAACTCCCTTCTGCCCTAGAAAAAATTACTCTCCCTCAGTGAGCGCGCTTCTGCCTCCTTGGACGACTGTTCCCAATGGGCTTCCCGAACCCCATCACCCACTCAGTTATTTCAGAAATGTTTGCCTACTAAGTTCCAGATCATCGTAAAGGAGTGGTAGACGCGTGGGCATGGTCCCTGCCCTCAGGTAGCTGAGAGTTGCGGGAGACAGGCATTAAAGACACATTGACAAAAAAAGTATACATTTAGGTGGAAGTCACAAACTGTCATAAGAACCATTGCAGAAAAGTAGACTCCAGTGGAGAAACAGGACAGGAAGAATTAGACTGAGAATTTGGGAATCCTGAGATCCAAAGGTTCAGTAAATTACCCAGACAAAAAGTGAAGAGTTTTCCAGGCAAAGAGCAGAACACAGGAGGCCCTGAACAAGGAAGAGATTGGCCCAGAGAACCGGGGAGGCCAAAGCCGCTAAAGCCTGGTGAGTGAGGGGAAAACAGGTCAAGGGAGGCTGGAAGGCAGGCGGGGCCTTCAAACAAGTATGGTGGGTTCCCACCCAGGACGGCACATCCCTAGGGAGCAATTTGGAAGTGCAATTTTGTTGTCAGATGGTTGAGAGGAGGAGCAAGAATGCTAGATGTCTTATACTTTGCAAGATCGTATCACACTAGAAAGAATTATCTGTCCTACATAGCTTTCTTTCCCCAGAGCCCGAGGCGCCAGCTCCGCCGCTGCAGCCGCTGCCACCTCACAGGCAGGCCTGTTCCTTCCTCTTCCGCTCGCTGTCAGTCCCCGTCTCTATGGTGACCGCATCCGGCCGCTCGCTCCGCCGCCGCCCTCTCTGTGGTCGTCCCGCCCCCTCCTTTCGCCGCGTACCCGCTGTGGGGTGACGTGGTTGTCCCGCCTGCCCCCCGCCCCCCGCCCCCCAACAACAGGCGTGCGTTCCGCAGACGCTAATCCGAGTGAACCCAGCATGGACCCAAAGGTGACGCAAGCTTCAACCTCAACTCCCTTCTGCCCTAGAAAAAATTACTCTCCCTCAGTGAGCGCGCTTCTGCCTCCTTGGACGACTGTTCCCAATGGGCTTCCCGAACCCCATCACCCACTCAGTTATTTCAGAAATGTTTGCCTACTAAGTTCCAGATCATCGTAAAGGAGTGGTAGACGCGTGGGCATGGTCCCTGCCCTCAGGTAGCTGAGAGTTGCGGGAGACAGGCATTAAAGACACATTGACAAAAAAAGTATACATTTAGGTGGAAGTCACAAACTGTCATAAGAACCATTGCAGAAAAGTAGACTCCAGTGGAGAAACAGGACAGGAAGAATTAGACTGAGAATTTGGGAATCCTGAGATCCAAAGGTTCAGTAAATTACCCAGACAAAAAGTGAAGAGTTTTCCAGGCAAAGAGCAGAACACAGGAGGCCCTGAACAAGGAAGAGATTGGCCCAGAGAACCGGGGAGGCCAAAGCCGCTAAAGCCTGGTGAGTGAGGGGAAAACAGGTCAAGGGAGGCTGGAAGGCAGGCGGGGCCTTCAAACAAGTATGGTGGGTTCCCACCCAGGACGGCACATCCCTAGGGAGCAATTTGGAAGTGCAATTTTGTTGTCAGATGGTTGAGAGGAGGAGCAAGAATGCTAGATGTCTTATACTTTGCAAGATCGTATCACACTAGAAAGAATTATCTGTCCTACATAGCTTTCTTTGATTTTTGTTTTTGTTTTTTTTTTCCAGCTGCGCCGTGGGGCATGCAGGGTCTTAGTTCCCCAATCAGGAATTCAACCTGCTCCCCCTGCAGTGGAAGCCCAGAGTCTTAACCTCTGGACCCTCCAGGGAAGTCCCTGTCCTACGTAGCTTTCAAATATGTCCTACTGAACAATCTTGTTAGTGAAAAAAAAAAAAAAAAAAAAAAAAAAAAAAAAAAAAAAAAAAAAAAAAAAAAAAAAAAAAAAAAAAAAAAAAAAAAAAAAAAAAAAAAAAAAAAAAAAAAAAAAAAAAAAAAAAAAAAGGTTCCAATCATCTAATCCTTGAGCCTGTGTTTTATATATAAAAATTAAGTAATTTTGCAGGGTTGTAATATGTGCTGAATTTTCAAGGAATGGAGCTATCATGAAAATGGAAGGAACATTGTACTTTCATTTTGTCCAGGAATGTACTTCTTAACATTTTGGAGAACTGTTTCATGCACAGCAATGCCATTCATAGTGTTGTGTCTGCATTTGTACTGTCACATTCAAGCTAGTGCTACATTAGGTACAAGCGTCTGACTAATGATGTTTTCTCGCATACTGAAATAACATTATTCTTTTATTATAAAGGATTTCCTTTTCTTCTTTCTGTTGTCATTGCACTGTAATTTTTTGAAATTTATGTGTGTAGTTAAGTTATGTGACATACGAACTTCATTTCAAAACAGGAAGGGGGGTGTTCCTTGAAAAGTTTGTTATTAAAAGGGAACATTGGGGTTGGTAGAGTCAAGAACCCATATAGGAGGCACATGAGATGGAATGCACCAGCACCTTTACCCTTTACTGTGTTTTGGTCTTATCCTCAGATAGACAGCAATTTGATCTCCCCTCAGCAACTGGCACATAATAGGTGGTAAATGAATGGCTTGTTAGAAGACTCTGGGAAGCATAGTAGAAACACTCATCTAGAGGTTGAAAGATACAGGTTCCAGACCAGCATTGTCCAATGGAAATACAATGTGAGGGACTTCCCTGGTGGTCCAGTGGGTAAAACTCCAAGCTCCCAATGCAGGAGGCCCGAGTTTGATCCCCTATCAGGGAACTAGACCCCGCATGCCACAATTAAGACCTGATGTAGCCAAATAAATAAATAAATAAATAAAAGTATTTAAAAAAGAAAGAAATATAACGTGGGCCGCATATGTAAATTTTAAATATTCTGGTGGCCACATTTTAAAGTATTTATTTATTTAATTGAAGTATGTGAAGTTGATTTCCAATGTTGTGTTAGTTTCAGGTGTACAGCAAAGTGATTCATTTAGATATAGATATATTCTTTTTCAGATTCTTTCCCATTATAGGTTATTACAAGATAATGAATATATTTCCCTGTGCTCTACAGTAGGTCCTTGTTGTTTATCTATTTTATATACAGTGGTGTGTATCCCAAATTCCTAATATATCCCTCCCACCCCTTTCCCCTTTGGTAACCATAAATTTGTTTTCTATGTTTGTGAGCCTGTTTCTGTTTTGTAAATAAATTCATTTGTATCATTTTGTTATTCCACATATAAGTGATAGCATATGATATTTGTCTTTCTCTGTCTGACTTCATTTAGTATGATAATCTCTAGGTGATCCATGTTGCTGCAAATGGCAATATTTTTAAAAAATTTATTTTATTGAAGCATCGTTGATTTACAGTGTTGTGTTAATTTCTGCTGTACAGCAGAGTGATTCAGTTATATATATATATATATATATATATATTCTTTTCATATTCCTTTTCATTAGGGTTTATCACAGGAGATTGAATATAGTTCCCTGTGCTATACAGTAGGACCTTGTTGTTTTTTCAGTCTCTATATACTGGTTTGCATCTGCTAATCCCAAACTCCCGATC